TTGTGTTGGTAGGGTGTTTACCCAGCAAGCCTGAGGACCTGAGTTTGATCTCCAGCACACATTAAAAAAAAAAAACAACAACAACAAAAAAAAAAAAACAGAAAACAACAACAAAACAGGTGCATGTAATATCAGTGTCAGGGAGGGAGACAGAAGGGTTCCTGGGGCCTGCTGGCCAGCCAGTCTTATGAGTTCCAGGTAATGAGACCAGTCTCAAAAGAGAGAGAGAGAGAGAGAGAGAGAGAGAGAGAGAGAGAGAGAGAGAGAGAAGAATAAAGGAAGAGGAGAAAGCATACATGAGCCGCTGACCTCCACAGCACTTGCACATATGTGAATGCACATCTGCACATTTATGGGCACACACAAGGGCATATACCACACACACACACACACACACACAGAGAGAGAGAGAGAGAGAGAGAGAGAGAGAGAGAGAGAGAGAGAGAGAGAGAGGAAGAGGAAGAAGGAAGGATTATTAGATTAATAGCACGGGCAAGTGGGTGAGAAGTAGGTGTGCACACCTTTATCTATGCATTATGATCAGAGGGGGCTTAACAGAGGAAGGCAAAGTGGGTTTAGTAAGAAGAAAACCATTAATATAATTCATCATTCTCATTAAGAGAGTAAAAAGAGGCCAGGCACAGTGGCGCACGCCTTTAATCCCAGCAGTTGGGAGGCAGAGGAAGGTGGATCTCTCTGTGTTCGAGGCCAGCCTGATCTATAAAACAAGTCTGAGGACAACCAGGGCAAAAATAGAAAAACTCTGTCTCAAGAGGGAAAAGAGAGAGTAAAAAGAGAGGCCTTGGCACCATCTTCAAGATGCACCAAAAAAACAAAACAAAACAAAACAAAAAAAAAACACCAAAACAAAACAACAAAAAAAAAAAACAGTGTAAAACTCTGGGGCTGAGAAGATGGCGGTTGTGTAGCGGTGGCCTATTGTCCCACCCTTCCCCAGATTAAAACCTTCCATCTTGGAGGAAAGCCCTTTGAAGCATAGGATGTCACAGGGGAGGCGAAACAACAGGATGTTCAAAGCAGATGTGGAACACTCCACCCTACGGGGAAGCTCCTTATATTTTCTGAACAACTCAAAGGCTTCAGGAAGTCCCTGAAACTGACCAGATTCACTAGGCTCCTCCTTCCTCGGCCTTTATAAACAGTAAGGACTACTGCGAGACACTCTCAGACAAACCAAGCTGCCTGGAAGAGACCCAGACCACCCAAAGTATCAGAAGAAGCAGAGAGCAGCTGAGATGCCTGGGAAGAAGCGCAGACCACTGAGCCACCAGGACAGGACACTCTCCATCCTGCTGAGCTGCCTGCAGTCTCTGCAGTGTGCCCCAGATTTCCAGCTTTCTTGAGCTGTGACCCATGTCCTTTCTGCTCCTGTAAGTAAACCTTCCCCCATGTTCCTGTAAGTAACCCCAATACAACTCATTGGTTCACCAGGTTGGATTTGGGTGGTGTCTGTACTTTGGTCTGCCATCAGCTCCCTGCTGAGGAGACATTTGTTCTCATCTCCTCAGTAATCGTGTCACACAACAAGGGCTCAGCTGATGAAGTCCTTACTGCGTAAGCATGAGGACTTGAGTTTGGATCCCCAGAGCCCACGTAAGTCCTGGGTGTGGCAGCGTGTGTCTATAGTCCCAGTGCTGGGACTGAACAGTAGGTGTGAGACAGGAGGATGCCAGGGGTTCACTGGCCAGCTACTCCAGACAAAAGTTCATGGGTTAGTGAGAGACCCTGTCTCGATGATGTTGATGATGATGATGATGACGACGACGACGACGACGATCGTGGTGGTGGCGATGGTGGTGGTGGTGATGTGGAGATTCATGAAGAGGAGATCCCAGCATCAACCTCTGGCTTCCGCATGCACCTGCACGCACTCATACACCCACCCACGCCTGACATAAGCTCTTCGGTTACCAGGAAAGCACAGAAACTCCCACAACCTGAAGCTGTTAGCTTCGTTCCTTGGCTTGTGCTTTCTCTTCTCAATCACCAGGCTAGAAGCCTGACAACTGTGTCCCCAGGCTCCCGTGCTCTGCCAGTGGCGGACAAACATGGACATTTACAAAGCCACTTGCTTTCTTCTGAGGGTCCTGACCCCAGCAGCAGCTGCACCCCAACTGCTCAGAGTGTGGTTCCCTGACTCTGAGCAAAGGCGCTTGCATCTTTTCCTCCTTTGCCTTTACAGTAATTTCATAATTAGCTCAGTCCCTGTTTGAAACATCTAAAGCCACTTCAGTGTTTCTAATTAGTCACTAAGTGAAACAGGTGCTCCTGCATCACCCTTGGTGGCAAGCCATTGGGAAGATTTCCTGTGGAATCAGACATAGGACCAAGATGGCTTCCTTCAGTGCCTTCCAGAGAGAGCCGTCCTGGAGCCTTAGTCTGGCGAATGGGGGAAATCCAGATATCAGTTACATGGAGTTTTTTTTTTTAAGGCAACAGAGTTGTAATCAGAGAAAAAAAAATACATGACAACTTCACATTAGAGTGCTAGGTGGTTAAACAAAACAAAAAACAAAAAAACAATAACATGCTTATAAATAGGCATGTCTAGAAAGGTTTTGTTTCTTTCTTTTGCTCTTTTTTTCTTTTCTTTTATTTATTTATTTATTTTATTTATTTATTTTTTCTGAGACAGGGTTTCTCTGTGTAGCCCTGGCTGTCCTGGACCTTGCTCTGTAGAACAGGCCGGCCTCGAACTCACAGAGATCCATCTGCCTCTGCTTCCCGAGGGCTGAGATTAAAGGTTTATACTACTACCAACCGGCTGATTTTGTTTCTTAAAGAAAAGGCCAAGGAAGTGGATCAGTGGGCATAGTGCAAGTGTGAGGCCTCCATCCCCATGACTTGAGTAGGAAACCTGGGTTTGGTGCTCAGGGGGGCAGAGGTGGGATCGCTGGGGAGAGCTAGGTAGCCAGACTAGCCATAACTAACTCTGTGTTCAGTGAGAGACTGCGAGTCAATAATAAAGTAGAGAGTGATCAAGGAAGACTCCCAGCATAAGCATCAACCTCTGGCATCCATACACATATGCACCCAAGCATATGCAGACATGCATGCATGTTCACATACACCAGACATGTGTGCGCGCGCACACATACACACACACACACACACACACACACACACACACACACACACACACACACCATAAATTAAATACACATTTTAAAAAAATAGTCAAAGTCAGTAAGTTTATCTCAGAGTGAGTTTGATCAGGGAAGCAAGCTGGTAGGAGCATTTACCTGGTAAGTAGAGGTGATCGCAGTGGCTTCCATTTGGCCCACTCTAAGACAGTAACTTTCTCTAAGACTGAAGACCTCAGTGTCGGGTGACTGCTGGCTCCTGACTATCTCTAATCCAGTTATGTGTGTCAGAACAAGAGTGACCCAAGTTCAAGAACCTAGTGAACATGAAGTGGACCAAAGCCAGAGCCAGACCAGCACCTGACCTTCAAAAGCTCTGTGTGGATGGTGGGCCCTGGCATTCCTTTAGCTCTCTAGGAAAGAGTGCCAATTCCACCACAGGTCAGTCTGTCTTCCCAAAGCCTATCACCCTGGCAAATAGCTGCAAGGCCCTCTGGGAAAGGCTAGGAGGGAGATTTACAATACAAAACTTTGGCTGTGTGTCCGGGATCTTCTGGTGGGAACCTAGCTCTCCTTGGTTGAGCTGGCTCTCAGAGTACAAAGGCTTAAGCATTGGACTTGGTTAAAGGGCTAAGAGTCGGTTGTGCAGTTCAAGTCAGATTCTGCCCATCAAGCCTTGAGCTTTCAAATGACACTAAATGACTGGATGGAAGTGAGATTTCCGTCAACTGCCCATCCGCCTTATAAGTGTGGACACCATAAGCTGGCACTGATGATTCTGGGGGCGACTGTAGAGGGCATGAGCTCACAGATAAACACTAGAGAAACCAGAATTGTTAAATACGCAGGCTTTTTTTCCCTTCAGTATAAGACATGGACACCCGTTTTCCATCCAGAAGACTGGGAATGGATGTGTTAATACCTGGTAATCTTTGCTATTCTGTAAAGCCAGTCCTCACTGAATCCCCCAGAATCCCGAGCATTGTTCCTCAGTCAATAGAACTCATCCTCATGAAAGAGGTCCTGTGTGTTTTGCAAAAGAGTTTTCTATTGTGCTGATTACAAACCCATCATCTCTAGGCCCTTGTCCTGGGCACTGTTTCTTAGTTAATAGGACCCATTCTGTCAGAAAGAGGTCAGAGGTGCTTTGTTAAAGAGATGTGCTTTGCAAGAGAGTTTCCATGTAGCCATGCCTAAAGTGTTGTTGTGATCATTGTCATGAGGGAAACTTTTTTCCAAAGTTTTACTGCGTTTAAATATGTAAAGAATAAACTCCTTGGCACCAGACTCCAGGAGTTTTGGCCTTGCAGCCACTAAGACAAGCTGAACCAGAGTTTCATTCTTTATTTTAATTAATTAATTATGTGCATTGGTGTTGTACCTGCATATATGTCTGCATGGGGGTGTCAGATTCCCTGGAAGTGGAGTTACAGACAGTTGTGAGCTGCCATGTGGGTGCTGGGAATTGAACTGGGGTCCTCGGGAAGAGCAGTGCTCTTAACCCCTGAGCCATCTCTCCGGTCCTCAGAGTTTCATTCTTACCTCCCCTGGATTGTTTTCCTGCCAGTCGCGATGTTTGCAGGACTCCCACAGGCGATCCTTTCTAGTCACAGCTTCAGCTTTGCCATCCACCAGGACAGCCTTGTCTTTGACCCAACAACTACAGGTCTTTTCCTCTCAGCCCACATCCTTCAATTCTAAGATTGAGGGACCGTCAAGCAAATTGTTGAGCTACTCCATGTCTTTAGATAATACATCATTGTAGGGCTTTTCCTAGGGAGATGTGAACAAATGTCTGTTTTCTCCAGACAGCATACCAACATAAACCAGTCTAGCTTAGTGGACCAATGAGTTGGTTGGGGTTATCTGGAGGAGTATGAATGGGAAGTTACTTACAGAAGCATGGGTGACTCACAGGCAGCCACACCACTGAAAAGTCACACCAGCATGAGCGATGACTCTTTTGGAAACTGCATCGTTGGAGCTCGCTTTCAAACTAGCATGCAGCTGGACCGGTTGTGGAGCGTCTCCTTAGCAGTCCTTACTGTTTGTATAACGTAAGGAAGGGAGGAAGTATGTGAATCTGGTTTCAGGGACTTCCAGAGACTTCTCTGTTTACTTCCTAGTCTCTACACTCACCACCCACCTCGACCCCCAAGATAGGTTTTCTCTGGGTATCCCTGGCTGTTCTGGGACTCACCTGAAGACCAGGCTGGCTCTAACTCAAGAGATCTGCCTGCCTCTACCTCTCCAGTGCTGGGGATTAAAGGTGTGTGCCACCACACTTGGCTATTTCCTGGTCTTAAGAGCCTCCCTTCAGAACAGTGGTTCTCAACCTTCCTAATGCTACAACCTTTTACAGTTCCTTGTGTTGTGGTGACCCCCAACCATAAACTTATTTTCATTGCTACTTCATAACTATGATTTTGCTACCGTTTGAATCTTAATGTAAATACCTGATATGCAATCCCTGCGAAAGGGTCATCTGATCCCCCAAGGGGTGGTATGAACCATTGCTTTAGAACTCTCCGAGTCTTAACGAGCTTCCCTCCAGGATGCAATGTTTCATTCAGTTCAAAAGGGCACAGCAACTCTGGTAGAAATGGAGCTTCCCACCTCGCCGCTGTCTCTGCGCAGATAAGCAAGCCTGTGTGTCCTTGCGGCCTCCTTCCTACTTGTGCTTGCGAGCCAAGGCCACCACCTCCCATACCCAGGCCCAAGACAACCTTGATTATAACTTTACTTTTTATCTAGTGCCTTCCTGCTTTGTGACTCCTTGTGACCCCTCCAGCCCCAGAAACCGGTCAGAAGAAGAAACGCCTTTTGTTCTCGGACCTGAAGGCTCTTTCCCTTCAGAACCCCAACACGGCTCTTTTTTGTTTTTGGTTTTTCAAGACAGGGTTTCTCTGTGTAGCTTTGCACCTTTCCTCGAACTCACTCTGTAGACCAGGCTGGCCTCGAACTCACAGAGATCTGCCTGCCTCTGCCTCCCGAGTGCTGGGATTAAAGGTGTGTGCACCACCACCCGGCCCAATGCAGCTCTTCTTTGGAACTGGAGAGAGATACAGGATCTGTCTCTCCCTTGGGAGGAGGGGGGCTCATGGCGGTCACTCTTCTAATAAGGCTCACCTTAAAAGTCCTTATCTCAGCTTCATTCCTACAAATCTGCTGTCCTTTACTTCCCACCCTTCTCAGGCAAGGATGGCAGATGGCTTTCTCCGCCAACGGACACCCCATACCAATTTCAAAGTCCTACTTCTTCCCGGCCGACGCTTTCTTAGAATAAAAGGGACTCTCTGAGGTTGTAAGTTCACATTGTCTTACAATTCAGCCGTCCACAGAATTAGCTCCTGGGTTTGTTTTTCAGAAACCTGAGCCTAGCCACTGTAGGAAGTGGGGCTTTCTTAAAGGATGGTCAGAAGCCAGGTATAATTATGAATGTCCCTAAAATACTCTGGCTTGGGGGTAAAGTCACCTTAACATTGAGAGGTGTGTGTGGTGGTGGGGCGCTGGCTGATAGCCACGCCTTGCATATGCTAAGCAAGCACTGTGCCTCTGAGCTGTATCCCAGCCTTGCTCTGGAGACAGGGTCTTTCTTGATAGTCCAGACTGGCCTTGAACTCTCGATTTTCAAGCCTCAGCCTCCTGGGTGCTGGCCTTCAGGCCTAACTTTCTTCAGGTTGGAGCACTCTCAGCCCCAGCGTAAAGCCCTGAACCTTTCTGGAAAGTCTTCCCTTTAGAGTCCCGTTCACGCTTGTGGAAGTTGTCACATAGTGTCACACATCAGATGAAGCCACTGTGTGTGACATTCCCCTCCATTGCTCTGGGGTCCTCTCGGCTCAGGGCCACTTCTGAGATTCCATTTGGCACTGCAGCAGTTCTGAGCTGCCCCTGAGGAGAGACGCTGTTCACACAAGGTCACTGATTCTGCCACTCGGGAGCATGGCTGCTCCACCTAGATCCCCAATCTGGCCCTCGGGCTGCTTCTCATGTTTGTGCCGTTCTGTATGGCCCTTCTATGGGAGCTGAGATGGCACACTGACTGCTCCCGCTGGTCCTCTTTTTCACCCAGCTGTCAGCCTGGGCTGGCACTTCTGCTGAGGTCACACTATCCTCTGCACCCAGTCAGTCCCCTTCGCTGTTGCTACCCTCTGGCCCCCTTTCTTTTCTAAAATGGGCGGGACACAGTTTCCTCTTCCCCATCCTCCTATGGGGATAGGGGTGGCCTGGGGCCAGGCTGTCACGACAGCCTGAGGTGGCAGCACCTTTGGCCATCTGCCACTTGTTCTCTTTACACAGGTCCAGGATGGCCATTCGGGTGGCCTCAGAGGCTCTGGGGGGTGGGGGAGGTTGGTTCTCAGGCATCACACTGCACCTCAAACTCTTCCAGAAATCTCATTACTAAATTGATTTGCCTGGCAGTTTTCTGCCGTTGAGATCATGTTGGGTTTCTCCCAGGAGCTGCGGAGTCCACTTGTCCTTTACACAGGCTTCCCTGAGCTACATTCCTGTCATGGGCAGAGCTCGAGTACTTGTCCTAGATGACCCCACTCTGGATGTTCGCTCCACTGCAGGGTCCTTAAAAATGTATTTGAGGGCTGGAGAGATGGCTCAGAGGTTAAGAGCACTGGCTGCTCTTCCAGAGGTCCTGAGTTCAATTCCCAGCAACCACTTGGTGGCTCACAACCATCTGTAATGAGATTTGGCGCCCTCTTCTGGCCTGCAGACATGCATGCTGTATACATAATAAATAAATAAATCTTTAAAAAAAAATGTATTTGATATTCTCAGTAGGAAATGACTGTGGTGTTTGTATGTGTATACATCCACATACATGTATACATACATACATGTTGGCATGCACACATGCACACATACATAACACCAGCAGCTAAGGGGGCAGAAACAAAACCAAGCAGGCACTCTAGCCTACACGTAAAGGGCAGAATGAACATGGAGAAGAAGACTATGACTAATGACATGAAATGCCATTGACTGGGAAAGATGAGGACTGGGAACTGACCACTGGCGTGATCGACAGGGATCTCACTCTGACAGGGACAGTTTGGTGGGATGGAGTAGACAAAACTCTGTTGGTGTAGGGTTAGAGCAGAGAGAGGGAAAATGGAGACCGTTTATAGATGGTTATTAGGAAGTTTAGCTGTAAAGGGGCTGGGCAGCAAGCAGAGAGGGGAAGTAGGAAAAAACCAGCATTCCGTGTATTAGTTAAGGATGTGCTGAACCCAAGGGCCCACCCTGCGATCCCGGCACTTAAGAGGATTGCAGTGCTTCATGGGGCTCAGGAACCCAAAGTGAGTCCGTCTCAGCTACATAGTGAGTTCCAGGCAAACCTACGCTACACGACGTCCTGCCTCAGACAATAAAACTAAAGAATGAATGTGATGAAAACAATATCCTTGGACTGGGGATGGACGGAGCTCAAGTGGCAGAGTGCTTGCCTGCCATGCATGGAGCCCCGAGCTTCATCCCCAGCACCAGGTGAGCCAGAGTGGGCCGAAGCATCCCTGTAATTCCACACTCGGGAAGTGGAGGAAGGAGGGGCAGTCCAAGCTTGCTCTCAGCTATCCAGGGTCAGAGTCAGCCTGGGCTACATGAGAATCTCTCTCGGGAGCCACGGCAACAGTAATGATAATAGCATCATTGTTGGCTGACGGACCTGGCTTAGCAGAAGGTGAACACCTGATAGCGTGAGCCAGGCAGCAGGAACGAATGGCATCCTTTATTGAGACTGGGGAGGGAGGGTGGGACCCAGGACTCTTCATCTGCGATAGCAAGCCACTTGGGGAGAACTTCATTTTATTAAGAAATCTGTCTTTTTAGGCTAAGCAGGGTGGCTCATACTTGTAATTCCAGCACTTGGGGGGGCTGAAGCAGGAAGGTTGCCACATATTCTAGGCCAAACTAAACTAATAATGAGTTCCAGGCCAACTTGAACAACAGAGTGAGACCATGTCTCCAAATAACAAAGAGACAGAGACAGAGACAGACAGACAGACAGACAGACAGACAGACAGACAGACAGACAGACAAACAGAAAGTGAACAAGCAGAGCCAAGCTGGGGTTTTCAGGATCTCCTGTATCCCGGGTTGGCCTCCAATTCACTATATAGCTGAAGATGACCAGGAACTTCTGATGCCCCTCCCCCGTCTCCCAAGGCTGGGATCACAGGTTTGTGCACCATGCCCAGTTTATTAAGTGGTGCTGGAGCCTGAAACAAGGGCTTCAGGCATTCCAGGCAAGTTTGCCATTTTGGCTGGACTGGCTGCCCATTGAGCCCCTGGGATCTACCCGTGTCTGTCCCCTTCTCCCCAGCTCTGGGGCTACAGACACAGGTAGCCACCACCACCCCCCTTAGCATTTTCGTGGGTGCTGGGAATTGAAATTCAGATCCTCGCACTTGCTCAGCAAGCGCTTTACCAACTGAGTCATCTCCCTGGTCCTGAAATCACATGTTCAATGTGATTTATAATATCGATCGTGAAAAAGCAAGTGCGTTGTCAGAGCCACAGAAAATCAGCTTCAGAGATCCCAGCTGTGCCCCCAGGTCTTCCCAGGGAAGCGCGGCTGCCTCAGGAGAGGCAGTGGAGGCACAGGATTAAACAATGCCCCAGAGATACTTCAGGGTAGCCAGAGAAGGGGACTTTCTGAAGGTCACTGGTGGTCCAGATTACATTAGAACGGTCAGGTGGGAAGAGAGAAGAGAAAGAAGCAATTGTGTTTTACAGTTCACTGAGTTCCGTTTGGAACTGGAAAGGATGACGAACGAGGCGGCAGAAAACAGTCTTCTATTTTAAGTAAATGGATGGAGCGAGGATGAGCAGGTTAAATTAGCTAAGGAGCAGTGCTGGGAAGGAGGAGAGAAAAGAACCTATTTTAAGAAAGTGGATGAGGTGTTGATGATTTCATTACATTAGCTCAGAAACCAGTCGACGTTCATTATGGCTTTCAGGGCAGAGAGCCAGGGACTCTACTCTGAAGCCGTGGGAGACATGGGCCGCAAGGAGCAGTCAGAAGCAAAGATG